ATATTATTGTACTCAAAACTATATATTATATTATTCCTGGGGTAGCCCTATATTTTTGTATTTTTGTTAATATACAATTCATTAAAAATCTTATTTGGTAATTTAACTACTTTTTAATATAACAAAAGATCACATTTAAGGACCATAATTTAACCTTTTATAAAATTATAAATACCTAAAAGAGCTCTGAGGAATTAGGTTGAATTATATCCCTAAGACAACCCTCACGTAGGCTTACACACTCAGAATGAAAATAAAGAACCCTGGAATTTTGTGTTCCTCTGAATAGGACCTAAAAGAAATCAAGCTATACTCTTATGGATCTGGATTTCCACTTATGTTTCTGGCATTCCAGACCTTTATGCTAAGAAGGAAAAGATGCTTTATTCTGGGTATTTGGTGCTTAAGCTGTGGGTGAGAAACAGTTATAGCTCTAGGGAACAAGGTTAGACAGAATATCATGGTGGAACTGGAAGTGTCTGGACAAGCTACACACTAAGATGTGAAGGCGATACAGATGGGACTTGAGGAGAACTGTATAAGTCTTAAGCCCATTACAGAAAGCACAAGAAAATTAATAGGGATCCTCTGGGGAGAAATAGTGTTGTGACACTAACCAGTCAGTGATCTTGAGCAGCTGTCTTAATCTCTCTGGAATTCAGCTTTCTCACCTTTTAAATGAGATTTCTAAGCTTTCCTAGAGTCCCAGGATTTAACGATACAACTCTTTGTACTACGTTTCACATACTAAAGATAGATGCGGAAGTAAGTTTTTCTTTCATAGAAGATAAAGTGAAGGTTTCTTTGGGTCATTTGAAATAAAAGACATACCATCAATATTTGGGAAATACTAAAATAGCCATCCTCTACATGTCAGTTTAAAAAACAGTGACAAAGATGTTCTGACACATTTGCTTTTTCAACACATTAAAGGAAGCAAAAACCTGACAACTCAGATTGTATTCAAAAACATTCCTTAACTGATAAATTTGGTGGGTCTATCCATTGGAAGGGATTAAACTTGTTGACCAAATGTAGATAGGATATACAATCAATTCATATGAATAAATGGATTTCTTTTACTTCATAATGACTTGGGATTTAAATAGGTGTGGCTTAACTTGAAAGCAAGATATGGCAAAAAATCAAGGACACCATTTTTACTTTTTATGAATAGCACTCCCTGAAACATACATTTTATAAACAACGACGGGAATGGCGCTCCTTCGAATTGTGGAATGCCAATGCTCATCCAAAAAGGTGACTGAATAATTTGGCAAAGTTAATTTGCATGTCATCCTTGCTTAGGGGCCATGCTAATCTTCTCTGTGTCATTTAAATTTTAGTGTATGTGCTGCTGAAGAGAACACAAATGAAGATTTTTTTTTTACTCTTAACATCTCAAAATTCTACTGGGGTTTGAAATCTATATATTAAAACTTAAAATATTTAAATGAACAAAGTAACCTGGAGATCAGCTGAGCTGTGATTAATTTACTAGCAAACTGAAATCATTAGGTTAAAACATCTTATCTCATGTACCTACAAAATTTGGCACTAAAATTTGTTTCCATAATGATGGATTGTGTTTGTTCTTTCCAAACTCCACTCAGGTTATAAAGTAAGAAGTGTTACTTGGTTGTTCAAAAACATTCCACAACTAAAGGCTTAAATTATTTTGAATCTCACAAGATTAATTCAACAAATACATCCCAAATACTGTTCAAGGCACTAGATCCAGTGGAAAACAAAACATATTAAATTCTGGTCTAGTACCTATTTCTGACACTACTATTTCCAATAATAATAATGATAATGATAATAACAATAGCCACCATTTATTAAATGCCTACCACATTCCCAGAACTCTACAAGGCTCTCCTTATATATTATCTCATTTTATTTTCACAATAAAATTATAAATAGGTATTATTATTCTTATTTTACAAATGAGAAAGCTGAAGTTCTGAGAACTTCTCCCAGATGAGATAGCTTATAAATGCTAGAGTTACGATTCAAGATCTCATGCTCTTTCTCAAAAGCCATGTTCTTTCCAATGTGCCATGCTATGGACAAGAGACTAAGTAATATAAATGGTTCGCACTGAGTAGAAGGTTCTAGAAATTTAACTTGCCTATTAAAAGATGAAATGGACGAGTGATTGGAAATGCAATAGGAAGAAAAGGATTAAAGAAAAGAAAATCTATTTTTCACTCTTTTATAGTTCTAATTGTTTTGGGGGGACTTGAAGATAAGACTATTGTCTTCAACTGGCAAATTCATTTGCTTTCAAATGTGATGAAACATTTTGAAGCTGCCAAAGTTAGGTCAGACAACTATAGGCAAAATGATATGGAGATGCAAAACTCAGTGTCAAGGGGTTATAGCCTTAAAAAAAGTTAAAAGATAATTTATTTAAAAGGATGTGATTTATTATCATTGCTTTCTAGAATGTTAAATTTGGCCTTGTTGTACTGTTAATGACTGCATAAATAAGTAAGCAACTTATGTCATTGCATTTAAGATATTGTTTCAAATGAATAGTATCAGAAATTAAATGTGTGGCAGTTTGCGACAATTTTATTCCAACTTGCAGATGAATGAAGATGTAATGCTTTAAAAAGATATTTTTTGGAACAGCAAATGGAATACATTTTAACTGGCTTAATGTTTGAATCACATGTCTCCATACAGTGAAATCAGCTTTGAACCACAGTAGAAACACAGCCCGAGTATACCCTCACCTCTCTCTCTTGCTGGTGTAGAGGTCCTTTTTCATGCCTTTGTTTCATCCCACATGGACTAGTATGCCCCTTTTGTTGGCCTCCCAGTCCCTGCACGCATAATTAACAGACTTAAGCTGGTACACCGTTCTCCCACGGAGACTCCACCAGGCACCAGAGGGAGAGCATGCACATGACTAGACCTATACCATTTAGGCAGAGGGATTCTGAAACAGCAACAAGGAGCTGATCGCTAGTAACCTTTTCAGAAGCTTGAAGCAGGTTACTTCCTCTACTGCTACCTCCCATTCCCACCACCTCCCACTGTTATAATCATTGCCAGTGCTAAGGGCTTTATGAGAAAACACACACACACACACACACACACACGCACACGCACACGCACACGCACACGCACACACACACGAGTTACTACTGTTTCAGCCACTCAGGTATAGAGAATTTTTGGTTTTGGTCAATATTTAAACTGCTCTCTCCTGTTTAAGTGTTAGTTTGCCACAGCCTACAACAGCACATATATAATGTCCGAAATTTGCTAACCAAAATCACATTATTTTCAGACTCATTATTTTCTTAGAATAATTCAAGTAAATGATTTCTTTTAATTGTCTCCAATTAGATGGATCCCTCAACAGTAATTCTTTATTATGTTTTTATTTAAAACTGCTCAGTTCTACTATGTTCTAGTGTTTTCTTACACTAATGCCTTTCTCCGATTTATGAGAATGAAGCTTTGTATTATATGATTTGCTTTTCCACAAAGAGAGGAAAAATGATTTTTAAAAAAACTAGCAAAGTTTTAAACAATAAATTTCCATTAAGTTCTCTATGAAGTCCAGTTTTTCTTTTTACTGGAAGGGATACATCATACCAAGTGGCTGAAACCTAAAGACTACACCTCAAACTTACACATTTGGTTTCATGAATAAGTAAAATGTTACATGTAAATGTCAATGCTAACATGATCTATAACAATATCAAGCTTTGGCTAAGTAAAACAAATGTGCATGCAAAAAAAATGTGTCAACACCTCAACATGGGTAGTAATTTCTAGTAATAATTCTGTAGTTACTTAAATGGAAGGAAGAAAAGCTTACCTTACTAAAGTCAACAGTGCTGTTTTCTCTGCTCACATCATTTTTATTTTCAACACAGGCTGGAGCAGACTGTGGAGAAACAACCTGACCTGCTAAAAGAGATTGTTATTATAGAATACAAACAATTACTTACATAATTCTAGATATATTGAGTGAAATATGAATTAAACTAGACTAACATAGGTTTCTTAATGGGTTTATGAGGTAAGCATGAAGGGACAATATAAATAGATCTATATCAATACAAATATTCTTATTTTTCAGTTACAGATAGAAACGGGAGAATTCAATCAAGACAGTGAAACCAATTCTCAGATCAAACCTCTACAACTAGATAGGTATTCTCAATCAAGAAAGGTTACCTAAAAAAATATTTAAATCTAATCATGGTTTTGAAACATCATTGATTTTTACATTTCATCCAAAACTGATGACATATATATTAAAAAATACAATAAAGACATCTATTATGATTTAAGCTCAGGCTGAAGAATTTGAAGTATAGTTTTTTTAAAGTGTTAATGTTTATCTGAAAAGTACATGGCACATTTATAGTTTCTACTGTATCTGAAAAAACAAACTAATGAGAAAAAATTCTTTGACAATAACTTTTAGAGATTTCTATATGAAAGTTTCTGTTAGAAATACCTATATTTCACACAGGATGAACACTGTGAATATGACTTTATGATTGTCACGATTAGATTACACAGGCATACTGATATTGGTCTACAGAGTCAAGATCAATAAACCTGAATGGTATTAGTTTTCTATTAACACTAACCATCAACTTAATTATTTTGTTATCTTTACCAATCACAGGGAAGATTATGATATTAGTTAAGTAGAATTAGAGCTGGGAATGTTACAATGGCTAACAAATTCCATTATTCACAAATTACGAAACAATTTTTCTACTGCAATTTATCTGTAAGCTCTCCATATTTAGCAATTAAGTGACAAAAATGAACAAGGTTTGCTTAATTTCACATGTATCTGTCTTTTTCCTTAACCTTGCCCCATCCTTACTTTATGACTTTTGCTGTGAAATGAGTGATGACAACCCAGCTTTGAAGCCTTGATCATATTTTTGATAGCTCAGTGACTTCAAAATATTGCTCCTCTTATTCTCATCAATCTTATACTTCAGAAATACGCTCTCTTGTCCCTCTCTGCCTAGTTCTTCTCTCTACCTATCTAAATCCTAACTTTAATAAAAGTTCACCTTTAGTCTCTTCTTCTCCAGTGACTGCAGCGTAAACTCATCTGAACTCCTCTAAACTACTAGTGCATTTTCAAATAAAACCTTTTCTTTAATTCTCTCCTGAAATCCCTTTTATTTTGTTCCCTAGAAATTACCAAGTATTATTTAAAACACTAATAAGTTACTAATGTACTTTAAAATATTACTAAATATTTTATAAAATATATTATAAAAATTTTACTTTCTAAATTATTAATGTTCTCAGGCAGGGGTCATTTATTAATAGACACAACTTTTTATGGTTTAAAATTGTTACATTGCCAGAGAGTAATGAGCTTAAGATTCTGCTAAAACTGAAATATTTCTTTGCTTTCACTAAACAAAGTAAAATAACACATTTGGTGAAGATTGCTAAAAAAGACTTTTTAAAGCAAATTCACCTCAAACCATGTACACAAATTCTGATTATAGCATATTTCAAAAAATATATATAAACTTTAGAGAAATTGAAGACTTAAGCGGCATCAATTATGCTCATTCTCCCATTTCTAACTGCAATGTGCAGCTATGTCTGTGAACTGTTCATTAGCAGCCATTTAATTTATCATTCTCAAAATAATAACTGTAATTTAAAAAAACCTTTTACATAATGCATTTGTGCTACTAACAGATGTCTTCAATCACCAGTTTCACATCATTGCTCCATATTTTCATGAGTTAAAACATTAGATATATTTAAATCTAAATTTACTGAATGTTCTGTAAAATTGAGTGGTGAAATTCAAGGCATGAAAAACTTTATTAAACATATTTCTGCTTTCTTATAATAATTTATTTCATGTGGTATAAAACTATATGGAAGAACAATCATTTAATTTAATCAGCAAATACACACAAAAAGAGAGTCAACCCAATGCAAAATCAAGTTTGAAGGAATTTAATTAGATAGAAAATATGGTATAATTTAAAATTGAAGAAATCGAATAGCCTATGTTTTCAAATATATACTTTAAAAGCAGAGCATTTTATAAATTACCTTCAGCTCATGTGATATGTTTAAAACACTGGCACTTGTAATTTTTTTGGTAAATATCAGTAGATATGGAGATTTATCATCCTATGATATTCTTATTCATAACAATGAAATGTTTATATTACCTCATAAAATTGATAATTAGGAAGAGATTTGAAAACTATTTTCTATGAATATTTTAAGTGATATAAATAATGACCTGGTGGAGAGTATTTAACTAGCAGGAGACACATACTAGATGACAGTAAATTCCTTGCTAGTTCTAGATTCTGGATATGCACATAGTACATAG